TTCCCTACAATCTAATGGATTCAATGGAAGCATACCGCCAAATCTGTGTCACCTGTCAAGTATTCTGATCTTAGACCTATCTCTGAACAATATCACAGGAATCATTCCAAAGTGCCTTAATAACCTCACTTCCATGGTTCAGAAAACAGAGTCAGAATATTCCCTTGCGAATAATGCTGTTCTTAGTCTGTATTTCAGTGCACCAGGTAGCTATGATAGATATCAGAATAAGATCAGGGTTGGATGGAAAGGAAGAGAGGATGATTATGGAAGCACACTAGGACTTCTGAGGATCATTAATTTTGCAAGAAATAAATTAATAGGTGAAATTCCAGAAGAAATAACAGGACTCTTACTGTTGCTTGCACTGAATTTATCCGGAAATAATTTGACTGGAGAAATCCCTCAAAATATTGGGCAGTTGAAACAGTTGGAATCACTTGATTTGTCAGGAAACCAATTATCAGGAGTGATTCCTATCACAATGGCTGATCTAAATTTTCTGGCTTTCTTGAACCTCTCCAACAATCACCTGTCGGGGAGGATTCCGTTTAGCACTCAGCTGCAAGGCTTTAATGCTTCACAATTTACCGGTAACCTTGCATTGTGCGGGAAGCCACTCTTACAGAAATGCCCTGGAGATGAGACGAATCAAAGTCCACCTGCTAATGATGACAACCGAGGCAAAGAATTCGTCGCAGATGAATTCATGAAATGGTTTTGTACTGCTATGGGAATTGGTTTTAGTGTATTCTTTTGGGGAGTTTCAGGTGCTTTACTGCTAAAACGTTCCTGGAGACATGCCTATTTCCGGTTCTTGGATGAATCATGGGACTGGCTCTATGTGAAGGTAGCAGTGCGCAAGGCACGACTTCAACGAGCCTTTCAGAGGCTGCACGAGCACGTTCTTGCTTAGAAGGATTGCAAGGTAATATGGTTATTCACATATCTTTTCCTTTCTTTTTATATTGAAGACTAATGGTTCATTTTATACCAGGAGCTGCAGCTGGGTGCATAACAGGTCCTTTTTGTGCAAGGAGCTCGTACTGTTAGTGCACGTGTTTGCTGGAGCTACATCGTCCTGTACCTTGGCAACTTCATCTTCGTCTACTACAAGAAGTTTGAAATAAGGTTCCATTGGAGAATTCTTTGTACACCTGCTGGGTTTCAAGGGAAACTATGAAAGTGATTATGTAATATATTATGGAATCTCAAAGTTGGTTTTTATGTGAATTTCATTTGGAATGTCTTTGCAAGTATTTATTTCTTTACTTAACAGTGTGAAGATGGAACACATTCATTCTCCAAATAAAAAAATTAAGCCAGTACTTGCTTATATTGCTACAGAATTTAATTAAAAACAGATGTAATTAACATTTTTATTTAACTGCTTTTGTTGAATTATTGGCTTTAAATCAAGCAAGCAGGTATTGAAATTGATGTTAATAATTCAAACCTATACATATAATCACCGGAGGAAATAAAATTTCAGAGAAATTTCTTCGAAGATTAGTTCAAAAGGTATACGTGTCAATTAATGGTGATTGTTGAAAAGTATGCCCAGTCATATAAGGAGGAGAAAAAATGGGGTTGCGATGCAGCCATTGACGAGTTCCATTGTGATCCTACTTAATGAGTCAATGCTACAAAGCTATTGAAAGAATTTTTAAAGGGATAAGCGAATTCCGGTACATTGTGAGAAGAACAATGGTGCATTCATATATTGCTTTCTTCTTTTGGGTCATCGAAAGTCATTCAATACTGAACATCATCTAGAATAACACAAGTCGTTTAGCTGACTAATTGCTTGATTTTTTCATGAATGTATAAGAATCTCAATCTGGAAATCCCAAAGATTATGAACTGGGAAATGAGATTTCCCTTAGAATATGTAATTTTCTTGCTAATTAGGCCCACAAAATCTAACTCTGCAAATATATCTGTTATTTTGTTGTTCTGTGCATGGCAGTGTGAAATTGATCTCGCTGCAGAATTAATTTAATTCATATTCCCACGTAGGATTGCACAATCTATCGAACACATTTAAAATCGGCAGCATGCATGATCTGTTAAGCAGACAACTATGCAGATATTTTCGAAGACATTTGTGGAATGTCCTGAAAAATACAACTGTTCATCAACTAGTACTAACATCCAATTTCTTGTTTAATCACCAATCAGAGAATAAAACATCACGCCCTTCAAATGCTTATACACCCCAAAGTTTGCCACACCTTTCCACTAATCAGAAACTTGCAAGTTTGAATCTATCCCACACCATCCCTGCAAATCTCCTACGTTCAGGAACTGCATGACCTGAATATGAGTCCAATTGTGCATTGGTTGATGACTTGGATCTAGACTCGCAGCTCTGGTTTCTTAATTTCTATCCATGAAGATATGCACTTTACAAGGCAGCATAGGTTAACGTAAGTCCGTAGATATTACTGAAAAGCACAACATTTCAGAAACTCAAGTTTTCACTTTTCAAGACCTTAGTTAACATCGCTACAAGCATGTTTACAAACACCAAATATTCACATCTACAAGGCAAGACTGATATTCACCAAATATTAGCACTTCTCCAGAAAATTTAGGTGCTGTCTGCATCATCAACATCAATTGCTGATGCCTATTTGGAATTGTCGTACCGGTAATGATTCAAAATGATTTTCATTTAAAAATGCATCAAAATAAAGTTTTTTATTTTTTAAAAATCATTTTGATAATAACAGTAATCATTGTTGGTATGACCATTGACTTTCTTAAAGTGAGTTCGTTCTTTCATTGAAGAGAGAAAAGCCCAGGCTGGCCATCAACAGACCAAAGGTTTCATAAGGCCATAAGGGTTGGGGGCAATACCCCCATTGACTATGGGAAGCAATGATTATGTCCTCGACAATTAACCAAATCTAAACAAATTGAAAGAGTAGAATTAAAGCATATATAGTTTGTTAATGCATTATCTGAAGCACAGACCTGGACCCAGCTTGAGCATATAAAAAAAATGCAAGTGGAGGTCCGAACTTCTTGTACTGGCTACTGAGTTAACCAATAAACAGAAGTCTGTAAGTTTCTTACGAAGGATAAATATAAAGATTTTAGAGCTCATTATTCTTTGAAAATGACAGGGGGGATTCTATCGATCACACTAGAATTAGATAAAAACAAATTGGTGAAAAGAACCAGAGATCTTTTAATTACAGTTCTGTGCATACTATTAGTTACTGAAGACTTCCCAACTTTAAATAAAAAGCTTTACTTATCTTCTAGTATTTACAGCTGGTATGGGTAAGCACAAAATACAGTTAAATCTTTCAAATAATAAACATTAAAGTCGTGAGTCTAATCCAGACCATAAACCTACTGCCAGTCATAGTTATAGAAGGTTATGAACAACATAGATTTGTCAACTATGGAGTCACATTTATGAGTAGCATTTGTGAGTGGCATGTCAGAGAACCATCTCACCTAAAAATTTAAGCTATTTGATGAGGTTTCAAGATAAGATTTATATTATTCTCTAACATACCCCTTTAAGTGAAAGCCCTTTGGGAACTTATACAGGTCCATTTTACTTTGTGCTTAATTTTTATCAAACAAATAGGGTGATGAAATTCAAACTCATGACCTTTTGGTCATCAAGGCTCTGATACCATGTTAAAGAACCAATTTAACCCAATAGCTTAAACTATTAGGTGAAGTCCTAGGATATGATTTATATTATTCTCTAACATGGCTATAATG